CCACCCAAAGTCCTTTCAATGCCCAGCCATGGAAAGCCAACCAAATACCGAGAGGCAATGCACCGCAATAATAGCTGACCAGGTTGACTAGCGCGCCGACATGCTGTCTTCCCATACCCCTAAGGCATCCTCCACAGCTACCGTTCAGTCCATCGGCGATCTGGAACAACGCCACCCACGGTAGAACCTCCGCAGTGAGCTGTACAACTCTTTCATCGGAGTTGAACATCTTTGCGAAGTCGTACCGAGTCCCCATAAGCACAGCCAACACGGCACCCCCCAGCACCATGCTCAACCAGGCCGCGGTATTGGCCGCTCTCGATGCACCAGCTGCATCCCGGGACCCCAGCAGGCTCCCCACTCGCGCAGACGTAGCAACTCCTACACCAAATGGAATTGTGTTGAGCACTTGGTCTGCGGTCATGATGACGCTCTGTGCCGCCAGCGGAATTGTTCCCAGCCTTCCGGCTGCAAGAGCTACGATTTCGAAGGCCCACCACTCGGTGCCTACATGCACCACGCCCAGAAAGGCCAATCGGGCAAAAGTTCCGAGATTCTCGAATGCTTTGCGCGACCAGCCGCCCCAGCATTCGGAGCCAGAGATGAACCGGGCATATAATACGAGCAGCACAAAGGACAGCCAGTAGGAAATGCCTGTTGCAAATGGGGCACCGAGCAACCCCATGTGAAAGGTGTAGCAGAACAGGTAATTGAGAAAGGCATTGAATGGTACCGTTATCAGCAAGACATACGTCCCAGGTCGCATAATACCTGCATATTCTGATTAACAGGGATTCCTGGGAAAATGATATCTGTGCAGCACGTCGGGAACGACTTACCCTGAGCTTGCAAATACTTTTTCATGGCCTCAAAGTAGATATATCCCAGACCGCCAGGGATCAGGCAAGTTAAGAAACGCGCACTATCTCTCGAGAGCTGGGGATCCTGGCCAAGCAAGAGAAACACCGGCTCCGAGAATGCCCAAAGCATGGCGACGGGGACATAGAACAGCCCGAGGACGAAAAAGGCCCGCTGCAACAGGATGCCGAGATCATGCTTGTTCGAGCTGCCTGTGAAGGTTGACGAGGCTAGTGTGTCTAGTGCGGTTGTCCCGCCCAAGGCGATCATCCAAGCTGTGACCATGGCAAACATGAGTGAAAAAGCTGTGGTGGCGAGATCCTCAGGAGAGACCCGTCCCACAATCAACACAGAGGTGGTTTGCAGACTGTTTTGCAGCGTGTATGCCAGAATGACCGGGATGGAGTCTTTCAACAGCCGGACAAATTCGACCGGACAGGGAATCAATAACTTTGAAATCTTGGAGTCATGGTTGGCGTCGACTTGCTTGGGAAGTAATGGCGTATGTTCCTCCCCGTGAGAGTGCGCGGAAGTAGTCTCTCGGTAGCTAGGAAGGGAGTCGTACATCTTGCAATGATAGTAGACACACTGGGCTCAGGCTTTGGAGAAGAAAGAAAAAGGAATTGGTGTCAACCCGAGAGACCAACATGGGTTACAATGACAATAAAAACGCTGGAGCTTGTTTAACAGCATGGCTGAACACATTGTACAGCAAGCACAGTATAGCCCCTTGCCTCGATCGATAGAAGCGGTCTGTTACTCAACTGGCAACCGCGCAGACCACCGACATAATCCACCACGAGCTTATCCAGATGAGGATCACTGACCCACCAGGAGACATTAGTCGAGCTGCATGTCAGCGCAGACTGATTCAGAGGCGGGGCTGCCTCCTTCTCAAGATATTCACCTTTTTGGGACGAGCGTGGGGGATACCTAACATTGGATGTCTGCTTCTACTGTATGATCCGATATCGAACCGAGATTTCGAGACTGACATCACGCTGTCTGGCCTTTGATGCCCAAATGTACAGATCAAGATATCTATCCCTTACGCAAATGAGTTTCTTATCTTGTCTGCTCACAGAGGCTATCAAGTGCGCGCCACACACGATACTGTCTTGTAATCCGATCTACTTGTGCCCCGCCAAGTATAGTTCCAATGATGAGGTCTGGCTGGCGCAGCCTGATGTTTGTATCTGATATGAAGGGAATCTTCAATTACCAAGGTAGGAGGTAGAAACTAAGAAAGACGACGGGTTACTAGAGAGACTTCTATGACTTCAAATGTCTGGATTGTATGGAGTCAAAATGAAATACATCATAGATTTGTGGTGGTCATGGTTGATAGCAGGCATAATTAGGGCATCAAACCGATCTCACGGTTGTCAGCTTAGGGCAACTAGATAGCACACAGTATCAAAGATGTCTGGAGGGTATATAGACATCTTGTAAAAAGAATAGCAAGGCAGCACATACTTTGTTGCCGCAACCGGTTAATGTGATTCGCTTCCAATTTAGCCAGATCCAGGCCGAGAAGGCTATAATGCGGCCATTAAGACCAGGGTTTGATTCGATCCGCTCTTCCATCCCAGTACATCCCGGTGATGATAAGCAGCAGAGATATCCTTCAGGCTGGTGATTCGATGTTCGCCTGAGGCTGTTACTGATAAGCATCGTTCCGTACAGCAATGGCGTTGCTCGACTTCACCTGTCAACCCCCCTCTCATCATGGACTATATATGCACCTTAGTCAAAAGGACCATGCATTGGATTCATTGCCTCAGGGCTACACCAATGTTACCCATGATCGATCATAGCTACACACAATGAATCTCAAATATACCCAGACAGACCTTGCCCAAATCTCTGAGAAGCAATCCGCCAGCGACATCAACAGCCTCCCCGTTGAGCAACATGGCACGCACGTCCATCCCACCCCTACTCCTGATCCTTTGGATCCGCTCAACTGGCCCCGTTGGCAAAAGCATGTGATTCTAGGGATTGTCATGCTCAAGTGCGTTTTGCTCCAGTCTAGATAACCTCAGACACTAAACTTGAACAGGTACTTCCTTTTCACCTACATCACGACCACCACCGTCCCCTCCTTCGCCGAAATACAATCACAGTATGACATCAGCTACTCGCAAGTCAACTGGACCGTCGCAATCCCGGCGCTGGGCTTGTCGCTTGGACCACTATTCTGGTCTTCCATTGGCGACATCTACGGCCGTCGCATTGTCTTCATCGTGGGAACTGTCATCGCCCTCGTTGCGACAGTTGGCGCTGCTGTGGCAGATACATATGGGGGGTACATGGCTGCTCGGTTCTTTCAAGGATTCGGAGTCAGCCCTTCATCAACAGTGGGAATGGCAGTTGGTATGCTACCTCTCATCAACAGGAATTGAAGTGAACAGAGCAGCTAACAATATAGTCACCGATCTCTTCTACGACTACGAACGCGGCCAGAAACTCGGATTATGGGTACTTGCTCTAGATTCAGGTTTACTTCTAGGCCCAACCTGTACGTGTTCCCATGTCCACCTCAACACGATGGTCTTATTTATTGACATAAACCAAGTCGGCGGGATTCTCAACCTCGTCAGCGCACAATGGATCAACTGGTTCAACGCAATTCTCTTCGCCGCGCTTCTACTCCTCGAACTTACTCTCATGCCTGAGACCCTCTACCCGCGCGCGTTGATGCTCCAACGCATGGCAACCACCGAGAAGCCAGCAGAGTCGAATGCAGGTATAGAAGAAGCAGAGATAAAACGCACCAAATCACTGCCATTTCTGAACGTCCGTCCCGTTCCAGGTCTCTCCCATCCGCCTATCTATGCCTCTTTCACCCGGTTCCTCCTCACGTTCCGCTTCCCAGTAATCCCCGTGGCGGTCCTCGGATACTCTTTCACATGGTACTGGTGGATTCTATCCGTGATTACCATGGTCCCGTCTGCATATGCATCAGATTCGCCTCTGATTCAGGGCTTACTATTCCTGGGCCTATTGATCGGGACCTTAGTAGCGGAGGTAAGCTGCTCGGGACGATTGAGCGATGCCATCGTAGGGAGATTAGCAAAGAGAAACAGTGGGATTCGAGTCCCAGAGATGCGCTTATGGCTGGCATATCCAGCTATCATCCTGACTGCCGGTGAGTACTTCCCATAGCTCGTATTGTACATTACTAACATATCTATACCACAGTCGGTTTAATCCTCTGGGGCATCAGCATAGACAAAGCCTACCATTGGATGGTAGGACAAGTCGCGTTCTTCCTATGTGAGTATCCCCCTACCCACCACTCCCACCACTCACACTCCTATCTCGCCCATCATCCATCACATCTCACCAATACCATACCTCCTCTAAACCCCCTCTAACCCCATTCACTAAATGAATGAACAGTCTCCGCCGGAATCCAAATCGGCAACACCGTAACAAGCAGCTACATAATCGACGCCTACCCACTCCAATCCACCAGCGTGGTGATTTTCTACGCTGTATTCCTGAACCTCAGTGCGTTTGCTAATCCAGTACGTTCCTTCCTCCCCTTCCCATCAACTACCCCCAATTATTATCCCTCTATCACTAAGATTGACTTATTGATAAATGACTGAATGAATAAACAGTTCTTCATCGCCCAATGGCAAGCCGCAATCGGCTGGACCTGGACATTCACCACCCAGGCTCTCATCATTGTTGCTGGTGGAAGTGCTGTGTTCATTTCGCTGCATGTGTTTGGGGCGGCGTGGAGAGCGAGGGGTGTGCCCGGGTGGGTGAATCCGGAGTTTGATTCTTAAGTTTGATTAATTTATGCTAGCTACTACAAAACCTAATCAAGGGAGTCTATGGTCCGGAGGTAGTATTTTCTTTACATGTCGTGCTGCTGAGTAAGAAGTTAGTACGCTCTCGATCGAAGGTTCGGCATGTAGAGGCCCGGGCTTCAATGTCTATAACCTTCAAGGAATATTATCACCCAGCGTAGATAGTATGCGGAGTAGAAAGGAATGCACCTTTCACCTTAAAGTTCAGTACTAAAGAAAGTCATTCAGCATGCGCAGAGGTATGCATTCAATAATCGCTAAATACGAACGATTGCATGCAAGTACCAAGCAAAGTCACGAGTCGTCCAAAACGTCTGCTCCACGAAATTAATAACACAACAGACCGTCTATCACGATTGCCATTGCCTGGTATCTTCCCGTTCCTACCAAACGCCGCCCAAAGAGAAACATTTTGAAACGCAATACGCCGCCGCCGATGATATCAACAACGCCGGAGGGAGGGAAAAAAAACATGCTATACATGACCGAATAGCTTCAGTCGATAGATACACGTGTGATTGCCGCCCCAGTTCGACGTAGCCCGGAAGACGACCCTGTCTACCCGGAGTTCTGGAGAATCAATCACCGCGTCTAGTTGAAATAGCTGCACGTGATGCGAGCCGTGGATATCGTAGGTAAATTTCCCGACTCGGTAATATGACGGTCCTAGGAGTGGATCATCGGAGTAGGCAGTCGGATCCTCGGTAGGCCATGCTGATCGGAGGGCGTTCATGATCGGCTTGTGGATTGACGCATGCGTCCTTGCATGTCGACTGGCTCCCTTCTGGACGAGTACGTATTGAGCCCAGAGCTCCATCTCCCGGGGGGCATTTTCAGGCTTCAATGTAGCCGTCTTCGGCATGTGTTCGACGGCCACTTCCTCTGGCACGATTTTTTGGCCTAGGTCAATGCCGATCTGTGACATACCATCCCGGGGTGTGCTGCACCAGCAATCTCCATAGTCTTCCCAGGGAGCTAAAGCCGCGAGCGGCGGTGATGCGGGACGATAATAACTACCCCTCCATAGTTTGACATAGGCCCACTGTAAAGGATTGAGCTTGTGTCCGACAGTTGGGCTTGTGAGACCCGGAATAACAAGCACTCCTAGTCCAATGCTCAGGAAGTTGGTCTTTTGTTCTGTGGGAGGACCAAAATCGGTGCCTCTGCTTGGTGGCATGATTGGGGTAGGTGACGAGCGGACCTCCGACTGCACCGCGTTCACGTCCCATTTGACGGTGCGCATATCCTTCGCCAATGAGGATACCTGTGCTCCAATTCGAGACATCTGATCTGTAAGGCTGCTGACTGCTAGCATATTGCTCTCATCCATCGGGATATATTGTGTGGGTCGAGAAAGGGAGGGAAGTCCGCCAAAGGCAACCAGGTAGACTGTTGCCGCTGCCAAGGCTATTCCAGCGAGTATGCGACCGACCGTAGATACGCTGGGCAACTGTGCTGATAGGCTTCCTACCCAGGACCAGGACTGGCCTCTCTGAGTGATATTATGTTGGTTGCCATCGACTGATGGTTCTCGTGATGGACTCCGCGCATATGTATCAGGAATGAGTGTCTTTGTGGGCGCGGTAAACTGTGCTGCAGGAGACTTTTCTCTGATGACCTCCGGCTCCGGTGTGGGCTCCGGCATATGCTCCAGCTCTGGCATAGGCTCTGGCTCGGGCGTAGGCGTAGGCTCTGGGGAAGGCTCATGCACAGACTCGAGTTCCAACTGTGGCTCCGGCTCTGGGGAAGGCTCTATCGTGAATTCCTCAAGACTAGGTTGCAGGGAGGGCGACCTCGATTTCGTTTTCAGAAGCCTCGAGTCCGGTTCCTCTTCTTCGTGGATAGGCTCGTTGAAAGCCAGCCCGGAAAATCGACGAGGGGGTGCCTTGATATTCTTTCCGTCGGAAAGCGTCCGTGTCAGTTCATCGGAGTTGATTGCTCGCTCAACGGTGAAGGAGTATAATGAGGAGTTGTCTGGTAGTGGGGAGCTTCCTAACGGAGGGCCATCGTGCAATTGCGGGCCAAACCGCCCCATAGGAGACGGATACAGATTGTCGGCTGGGACGTGGGGATATCTGGGTACAGGTAGAGGCTGCGTAGGACTTGAGGCGGTAGAAAGAGTGTGTGGGATAGGAGGTGTGGGGGTGGCGGTGGATTGGTCGTTGTTGCTGTAGTTTCCCCGTATAGGCGTGGGAGACTTAGTTGCCTCGCGCAGGTTGTCGAGAAGCTGCAACTCATCCGGAGTCGGCTCCCGGCGACTTCGCCGAACCGGGGAACGACTGATAGAAGGCGACTTCTGTCGACGAGACTTGTTCTGAGTGGTTTCTTTCTCTTTCAACTGCCGATCCTTCGCATCCTCAATTCCCTTGTCGATTGCGTCGGCCATCTCAGTCAGATCCATATGAGGCTGGATCTTGAGCTCCCGCGGGAGAATTGGCGTCTCAGCAGATCCATAAGCGAATGACTGCTTGGTTGGAAGATTTGGCAGAGCCTGTGTCCTGGCTTCCGGACCCAGCTTGGACTGAAAATACGTCGAGGCACTCCCTATATCGGAGCGTGGAGTAGACCCCGCGCGCCTGGTGGCGCCGCGTCTAGTAGGCATTGGAACTTCAATGCTGAGAATCGGCTTTATGGTTGCGTTAGCTAGAGCGCATAAAGTGCAGGCGTTCCCACTGAGGGATGAGGGAAGAGAAAGTCCTATAACAGTGGGACTCGAAGCTCTCTACTCACTGTGAAAGATGGAAATGTTTAAGTTACTTGCAGCCTCAGGCATAAATAGGAGGCCAGAGATGCCAAAACACGGTGAAGAGATAGGAGGATTCAGCTCGGAGAGAGTGATCAGGAGTAATCTTGAACAGTCAGGCTGCAATCAGGTTTGTGCTACACTATGACTGCGACCAGGATGACCAACTTAGATGTAGCCTACACGAGGTTTGTTAGAGCTGGAGCTGAAATGAAGAACAAGTGAAAGAAAGCTACCTTGTTAAGTCTTTGTTTTCAGATGACCATTGAGAGAGGTCAAAGACCTTGAGGTACCCAGATGAGCTAAGGTGAGCAGAGGGTATAGACTGACGATGGCAATCCGGGGTAATTGTCGACCTTCATGCGCGAAAGCGACACGGCGCGAAAAGACGCGGGTGGAATGCCGATCCACGGCGTCGCAGGGGCGGTCGAGGGATTCAGACACTTGAGATTTGAGATGAACTAGGTCGCGCATGTAAAAATGCGCGTCGCTGCAGAAATTCCTGAGTGAAATCTGAAGAAGAGAGAGAATGCCGAAGCTGCAGAACAATGCTAGACGAGGGGATGAGGCTGGCTTGCTTGTTAGACTGAATGATGATTGATGGATGGCCCGAACCTCCACTCACTGCGGGTAATATTCGTATCCCCTGTTACCCGCCTCAATACAAGACTGCCCAATTTGGCAGGGCGGCTCGGCGGCCTCCTTTATAGATCGCCCGTTGGTTTACGATGTTATTCCCTCTCCCAACGCAGTGTGTATAGAGTTTACATGACAGGTTTGTTGCATTATTGCACTATCGGTTCTTCGTTTCAGTCCACGTTTGGTTACAGTCCAGCCATGCCTTTATTTCTTCGCTATTTTTATGCATGTTTCATCGTAACAAAGAAAAGTACAGGTCCTCGAATGCTTCATTTACACGGCTGCCCTCCCAGGACGGCCATCCTTCTATATTGCCAAAGTAAGAATAATATACAGTCGCTGAGGCAGTCAAGCAGTCACAAATACAAAAACATGATGATGATAGTTAGCATGTACGTTGCGAGTCTTGCAGGTCGTATAGGCTTCATTTAACAAGTCCACGCCGCGACGATACCGTCCTTGCGGCCCTCAACAAGGAATCCATCCTTGAGCCGAACACGCTCGACCGTGGCCGGCTGCGGCCCACTGTCGTCAACGCCAACTCCGGCACCACAGTCCCAGTGGTGTCCATCCGCCTTGTCGTATACCTTGACAACGTTCTCTCCGGCTGCCGCGACGATGCGCTTGGTGTCGAACATCATGCTGGTGATGGGCTTGTCGTACGCGTAGGCATCGAAGATAGATCCAGTTCGGAGATCCCAAATCTGGTTGATGTTAGCGGTGCCGTTACGTCTGTATATGAACAAAACTTACTCTGATGCTGCGGTCCTGACTACCAGTCACCAAGTGCACATCGTCGAACTGTAGGCATGTAATAGGACCGGTATGGCCCACCAAGCTCCGGTGGACTTGGCCGCTGCGAAGATCCCACAGGCGCACCATACCGTCCGCCGTTCCGCAGGCCAGCGCCGCATCGAAACACTGAACTGCGCCGACAAAGTCCGCAGAAGCGTCTGGCAGGCGTCCTGACGGGCGCCATGTCGTCTCACTTCCTAGAGTAGACGCCTGGGCCGCTGCCCACAAGACATCCAGCGTCTGCACGCAGCGCCCTTTGACCAGATCCCACTGTCGCAACGTCTTGTCGGCAGATCCGGAAATCAGGGTGTCTCCCTTGAAGTGCAGGGCGGTTACTTCATCGACGTGCGCATCAAGCGAGTACACATAGCAGTCTTCCAGGGTGGTCGAGTGAGATGCCATGGAGGCGTCATCAGCATGCGCAGATTCCTCATCGTCCTCGCGCCGGGTGACGCGGTTGTCGCGAGTTGTGGTCCGGGCCCGGCTCAGATCCCAGAGCTTCACAGATGCGTCCATAGATCCAGTGGCGACAATGTTGTCCTCAATCTGTAGGCAGCGGACAGATGCGTTGTGTCCCTCCAGGAAGCCCACGCAGCGGCCGACGTTGAGATCCCATACCCGCACCGTATCATCCAGGGCAGCACTGATCATGGTGCCAAACGGATAGTCGAAATCAATAGCAGTAACCATGTCCGAGTGTGCCGGCATCTCTTTGATTTCAGAACCGGGAGCGAAGTGTTCGTGCAAAACTGGCATCGATCGTTTCCCTTGGACCATTAGTACTGGGTGCTGAACGGAGAATGATTTGACATACTTATAGATCGCTGCTTCACGCTCTTCGGCGAAGGGATCTTCTGGTAGATGGATTCAGACATAAAGGAAGCACCCATGGCTGGGTCTTCAGAAACAATCGAGTCATCGTTGGCCTCGGAAGACTTGGGAGTTGCGGGAGGGGGCACCTCGGCCTCTTGCTCTTCTTGGATATCCTCCAATTTGTTCTCAATCTCGTTCACTGGTTCCATGTTAGGACGTTTCTGCCAAGTATCCAAGTTTCCAGGTCACCCACGCTCATGTTCTAGATCCGCCTCCTCCATCTCAAGGCCTGCCAATCGGTCTAGCACAATCTTCCGCATGTTGTGTAGGTTTGCGATCTTGTTATCTATGTCGTGTATCTCCGAGCTGCACATGTTCTTGCGAACGCCCATAAGTTCCATCCGGCGGCTCAGCAAGTCCCGTTCCTTCTTCAAATCCGACGGAGCGGACGGCAAAGCGCCGCGCGTCTCCCCATCCTTCAACAACTTCTTGCTCTTGGAAGAGCGCCGGCGATGGGCGCGGCGATACTCAATGTCATCCTGCGACGCCTGGAAGCCCTGGAAGAGAGAATACGAGCTGGAGTCGTCGGGGATATTGGCGAGAAGTTCGTCAGGAAGGGAGGAGATGGCCCGCGACTGAATTTCGGTGGTGGAGAGCTTGGAGCGGACCAGATCGGTAGGGGTGGTCTGGGTGAGAGAAAAGACTTTGCGCTGGGTGTTGGGATGGCGTAATTCGCGCTGGATGTCGGCCATAGCAGTGTGGTAGTGGCCGCCGCTGGAGGAGTCGGGAGCCGGTCCCATCAAATGGCCAGCAGTCGATGTGACTTTGCGCCCGAAGGCCTCGATATGACGCGACTGGAGAGGGAGAAGGTCAGCAAAGAGGGATTTTAGGCAGGAAAGACCGCCCAAGGGCAGGTGTCAAGGCCGCAAGAGCATACCGTGATGCCGGTCCCTAAGAGACCGTCCGGCTCGACAATATCTGATAGACCGGAGGGAGACTCATCACGGCGGCGGTGTTTGTCCATGACACCGGCGGAGGAGCGAAGAGTGAGCTAAGCACAAACTCCCATCCGGGAATTCACAGATCAAGGACAAGGATGGCGGAGAAAGAGGAGCTGTTGTGCCCAGTCGGCAGTTGGTCGGCTTCAGGCTGGGATTGGAAAAAGAAAGGCGGATGGAGTTGCACGCGATGAATTACCGTGTTTCGGCTGTATTTTTACAGCTTGCCTCTTGCTGCGCCCGGGCTACCCTAAGTACCACGGTCACTCTTCCCTCAGTTCTGGCTGATCTGCCTTCAATGTCGGAGAAAGCATAATTATTCCCCTGGAAAGAGACTGCTCCATTGGATATGAGTGGCTTAAGTATCCAATGTCCCTGTTCTTTGCCCCCCCAACCCCTCCAGCTTTCCACCTGATGAGGCTCTCCCTCCTGCACATGACAGCATCACCAGCCACGGATCTCGCCGCGGATTCTGTACGAAGCCGTAATGTTACCTGCGGGCAACCGGCCAGAGTCATGAATCACCATCCAACATTACTATGGGTTGCAGATGATGGCTGAGCCCAGCATTCCATGACAGTCTGGATGTCGTGAGATTTCCTTGCATGTTTCTAGACTCAGCAATTGGTCTTCCTTGAAACATCACCCAGTCTGTGCCGATCAGCAAATCGTTAGCGCTGATTCCCCAGCCTACTTAAGTTGCTCTATGATTCCCCCGAAAGCGGAGCGTAATCATCTCGCTTTCCCAGTCCCTCCATCTACTCCTACGCTTGCTGCACTTTTGCCCGCTTCGCACCCTCCAGCTCTGTCTCAATCTCCAACCAGCCTCGCCATGGATACAGCCATTGATCTGTCCGATGCCTCTAAGGCATTGGACCTCGCCAACATCCGCTTCCAGCTAATGTAAGTTCCTTCGGAGGGATTTCGTTAGTTAGTTAGCCTACTCTAGATCGACCGAAGATCGGGGACCTACTCGCATACAATGATTCACATCCCTGCGCGCAAACTTCAACCCCGCATCCCCTCCATTACTGCCAGAGTTTCAACATCGTTGTCCACCAACACAGATGCCAAAACTGAGAAATCATGTCAGTCGCTAATCATGCTTCGATACAATTAGCCGTCTTGAAGACACAATCACCTTCCATCTCATTGAACGGGCGCAATTCCCTCTCAACAAGCCCGTCTACCTACCCGGCGGGGTAAAAATCCCTGGCACCGAGCTCAGTCTCCTCGACTACTTCCTTCGCGAACGAGAACGTCTGGAGTCCCGTGTTCGTCGGTACCAGTCTCCCGATGAATACCCTTTCTTCCCGGACGCGCTGGAAGAGCCCATCCTCGCCCCGATCCAGTACCCTAAGATCCTGCATGACAACGACGTCAACGTCAATAGCATCCTGAAACAGCGCTACATTGAGGATATCCTTCCCGCTGTGTGCGCGCAGTTCGGACGTGAAGATCGCGGCGAAACGCAGGAGAACTACGGATCCGCGGCGACATGCGATGTGCATTGCTTGCAGGCGCTGTCGCGGAGAATCCACTTCGGAAAGTTCGTCGCGGAGGCTAAGTTCCAGCAGGAGACCGAGCGCTTTGTTATGTTGATCAAGGCGAATGATCGGAAGGGCATTGATGAGGCTATTACCAAACCTGAGGTAGAGCTGAAGGTGTTGGAGCGGTTGGCGCTCAAGGCGAAGACGTATGGTACCGATCCGGGTTTCCAACCTGAGAACGGACCCAAGATCAATGTTGATGCTGTGGTGGCCATGTACAAGGTGAGTTAACTCATCCCTCGGTTTATGATCAGGAATATGCTGACATGCGTAGGAATATGTCATCCCGCTCACCAAGGTCGTTGAGGTAGACTACCTCATGCAGCGACTCAAGGGCACGCAATGGGAGTAATGTAACACCACCTAGAAATTCCCGTTCTGCCATTATGTACACGGAATATTACACGAAACGCCGTGACGAAACTTCTATAGAAATAACCAAGATGGAATAATAGAAACGGACAAATGACCAAAAAACAAACCAACTTTTTCGGGTGTCTATAACATATAATCATCGTAATCACAAGCAAATTATATCTATGGCTTAAAATACTCCGCCATATCCTTGACCGCCCCATCCAACTTGTTCGCCTCCAACAGAATGAGGCTACCCTTCGTCACGATACCCAGATCCTGGAACGCGCGCTTCGAATCCGACAACCCCTCCTCCGCCTTATGCGTATACTCCACAGGCCCAACACACACAGCGTGTCTTTCCAGAACCTCATCCTCAGGATGGAAGAAAAACCGCTCGGCCTTCTCCCCACCCGCAGCCTTCTTCTTCTTCTTCTGCGGCCGCGACTCCTCCGCGTCTAGCTTCGACTCCACCTCTTCGTACGTCTTCGACACAACCAAGTAATGCGTGAAACTGTACGGCTCTTTATCCTTGATCGCCCAATCAATCTCCTCTTGCAACATCGTGTACATGGGCGGTACGACCTCCGCGGGCATGTTGATGAGACGTTCCGTCAGGATCAGGCCAATGGGCGGGATGGGCGTTTGGGAGAGAAGTTGGGCCAAGGGCGCGAGTGTCGGTGTGGCGTTTGCTTTGCGCTGGAGGTAGGCTGTGAGGTCTTTGATGACGGGTTTATCCTGTTCTTCGTTAGACTCCCCTCCTCCTTGTTCTTTATGTCGAGGCGGGGGCGGGGCGGAGAAGACGCACCTTGTGCTCCTGAAGATTCAGCACAGTCAAGAACGCATACGGATCCGACTCATTCCCATCAACTTTAACAGTCGAACCGAGCAGAGGTTGCGAGAGGATCAAATCGGCCAAAGCGGACATGTCGAAGATCTGGGCGTCGGTGTCGAAGAGCTGACGGAGGAGGTTCTTCAGACCGTGGAAATCGACGGCTGGTTGAGGGTCGAACCATTCGAAGTCGACGTTGACCATGTCCATGTCCTGATTTTAGTACTATTGTCAATATTTATATTGAGTTGTTGCTTGACTTGGCTGGGCTTGTATATGCCCGTTGGAGGGGGTATTGGTTTGTATGGATGTACCTCGTCGGAGTCGTCGCCGTCGACGCGGGGATCCGTCCCCGACATCTCGACATCATTGTCTTTGAGTTCCTTGCGCTTGACCATTGTGTATATTGGGGTATATGCGTGGTGTGGGTTTGACGGGGTTGTGCTGGGAGTCAGTTAAAGTGGGATTTCCGTTCGCGGAGGTTCGTCGGGCGGCGCGGCCGACAAAAGTTGATCTTCCGCTAACCGCTTTTGATTATCGATAGCTTATCGATAGCGCTATAGTAGTAGTGCAATGCAATTATCATTGAATTCATTTCATATTCATACTCTGAAGAGAGTTGTGTAGACACTTCACTGTTGGAAGAATATTCCCCAGTGTGCCCTATCATTACTCAATGTCCCATACATTGAAGTATTCAATAGACCAGCAAGTGCACATTAGAGGGAACATTACTAATGAATACTGCAATGTAGACAGCCACTTCACCAACCCTTGCCTACTATATAAACTCGGCCTGCGACCTTGCTTGATCATTCTAATCTTCCCAACTCCAACTATCTACATGATACTATCACAAAGGAACTATTAAGTTATAATTTGGAATATTCAAATATCTTCAGGATATATAGTATATCGAATTAGTATCGAAGCTACTACCACTAAATAGGCATTTACTTATGGGCAACCATGGCAAACATATCCGGGTTAATATATCACTATATATAATATACCAATGGATCAAGTTCACATACCATGAAAACTCCCGCACAGTTACAAACGTGGACTACAGATTGGAAGGTGCTTGAGAAAATCCAGCACCTGCAAGTGAAACAGCGATGTTGGACATCCCGTACCGAGGGGTAGCATAAATGACATATTCGAATTGGACAAACATTGTCATTGTATCCGCGAGTTGTTAAGAAGACTTTGAAAATGCAGATGGCGCTGGGTTTGATTATGAAAAAACAAGGTTATGGATATAGATACCGCACATATCTACAGTATCCATTTAGCGAAGCCATTCAGATGATATGGTGGGACCTAATCATACATTTTCAGCACCCTCCCCATAATTACCCTTCTCGCACTCGCTCTACGACAAGACATCTTCTCTATTCACAATCCTCGTAAGGCATAATATTCAATAGCTTTTCAAAATGGCACTCAGAGCATCGAAACGAGCGCCGTCGACAGAAACCGGAAACAACGGGAAGAAAAAGAGAAAGAGCTCTCACAAGACAGAAGAAGACACTTCTATACTTTCTTTAACCCAGATACGTGAGTAATTAGTGCACAATGGCCAGCTGTTGACAGAGGTTGCAGCTGCCACAATTATTGATCCCTTGATAGAAAGGGCCGAAAAGTTCTCGAGCGAGTAAGAATCCGCGAACAAAGGTGAGCGGTTAGTACTCTGCATCGGGTTTTTCAAATCAGAAAACTGGTTTAATCATATCAATAATGGGGCAAGCGCAATCGCTGTTTCGACACTGGCCAGCAAGACAGAATTCCTGCGATACTGCCAAGAAAACCATGTCGCTGAATGGAATGAAATGCAGACAAGGGCCAAGAGTTTCTACGACACGGCCAGAGTAGCTGCGAACAATTGGCGCAGGATCGAGGAAAAGCTTGGAAAAGTATTCTCAACAGATTTAATACGGCCTATGGCCTAATCTAACAAAAGGACCTGAGCTCAAGATTGATAAATACCTCACTAACAAAACGCCAGAAGGTAGACGAAGGTCACATGATACTTTGCTTGAAGCATCTTCAGACTATCCTGAGCACAGCTAATATTTGCACTGACAAATCTATGGCAGTGTTATTTAACCGCTTCTATTAAATGATAAGACGCGGTAAAGGCTACCATGATTTCCTGAGGGAACTATCATTGGACTTGGTTTGAAGTATTTAAGATGTCCGATGATAGTCTACATCAACCAGATGAGAGACCACTATTTCGATGTACATAGAGGTAGATCAAATGGAAGTTAAAAGTAAGAACTTCATCCAAAATGGAGAAACAAATGGGATGCGTTGTCTTTATCATAATCATCATTATTGTGGTCATTCTCCTCACTGCCGCCGGGATTATTTACATGAAGCGGCCTGGTCTTTTTCACTACGAACAATTTCTCACAGTTATAGATTTCCTCAGAAAAGTCATGAAGAAAATTGTGGTTATCCTAGAAGTAGTCAGAAAGCGGCGGTCATTCTGTCATATGGCTCTATAGTGCATGATAATCCTGAATGATCATATTGGAATTTTGACTGTCTTCATGGAACACTCTTGAACTCTCGGATGTTTTCTTTTGACCGTGGTCAAGAAACGTCATCAACATAGCTTGCAAAAAACTGTGATATGTATGAAGGAGAAATAAACAAGATTGCTGTCGTTATAGTATTTCAGATTCATGTCATTCGATATTTCTACGGGAGTAAATCACGTACGTATGAATATTGCAACATAAGAGAGAGCCCTTTCACTAGTAGTTTAGCACGTCATTTCCTTTCTATATATGTAGTATGACCACTTTTCTAATCCCGGCCACTATACTCCATCTACCACAGTAGCAATATATAACCCCCCCGGCCCCCCCATTAAGTCTATCCCAACCCATAAACTATATACAACCAACCCTCAAACCTCCCCCTCAAACATCCCCCTCCACCTCCTCCACACCAGGCACCTTATCCAAAACCCTCCCATAGAACCCAGCAACATGCTTAACACCCTCACACAAAACCCTCACATCCTCCAAACTGACCCCCAACCGTCTCGTGCCCCTAATATGCCAATGCGTCTCAATTCTCAAATTCTGACTCATAATCGCCGGCAACACCACCAACTGGGTATCCAAATCATCCAACACCCCGCGATCACTCAAAAACAACCCGTAGGTAATCTCCTTCGACAACCAGGCGAAATCCTTATGCGCCGCAAACAAATCCAACGTGCCCGATGTGTTCCGCGCATACAGCTTCTCCAACCACGCCACGCCGCGCTCGTGATTCGCCTCGTCGCATTGCCAGCCCTCCCGGGTGAACGTGTAGTCTTTGTCTTCGGGCGCTTCGAGCTTGCTGATGGCGAGGATGGCTTCGATGGGTTTGCACACTCCGACTATTATCACGCTTTTGATGAGGGCTTCGCGGATGCGCCGGATCAGGTGTTGGCGGGATGATGGGGTCGAGTACTCGGGTTTGGAGGTTAGGTAGAGGTAGAGCTGGTCGGCACGTTCGGGGTCCGGGTTTGCGACGAGGGTGGAGATGGCGAGGATGTACCATTTGTCGTGGGGGAGGATGGTGGTCTGGAATTGGGATTCCAAGGTTTGGAAGAGTTGGGCGTATTGGGGGTCGAGAGTGGTGGTGGTTGTGGCCATTTTTGGGGTGTTGTTGGTGGTGATACTTCGGAGGGGAGTAGATGGAGTAGTAGTATGTGTGAGAGGGGAAGAAGTAGATGGTGTTGATGATATTAATGATGATCGGACCGGCGTGTATCGGGGTGGGGAGAGGAGGGGTAGTATGGAGGAGACACTGGTGCCGAATTGCCGTCTACTAGTAGTCAATTGCAGACTACGAGGCGCATACAGTAGACGCGAAGGGTTGCGGGCCATTATGCCCCGTTGTAGATGCATTAATCCTTAATCGTGAAGGTGAGTCGCGTCTCTATCTGTTTTTTCCCCATGTTAGCCGGAAATGGAACTAATCGGCCGATATCGGTTATGTAAGGATGCATAGCTGAGTTCACCACCATTATTCAGTCAGGTACACCGATTCCCCCATCTGACTGCTACACCCCCAAGACTTCACCGAAATGCAACACCAGAACGGACCCAACTACATCATCGAAGAAGAATATGATCAGGGCTGTTCCAGCCAAGGGACAAAGCATGCCCAGCTTTGGCTGTGACCCACACAGTCCATGGGTACTATGATCTCAGCGACTGCCATATGACATCACAACTATCACCCAGATTCTCCCCCAACCCTGACTCTATATAAACGCTGTTCGTCGTCCTCAAGCAATGTAAGAATAACAAACACTCATCGAATTTATCCCTCTCACACACAAAACAACTCATTTTTTTAATCTCCTACTTCACAAATACACACATACACAATGTCTTCCGGAGCAGGCCAATCCAGCGTCGGCAGCCGCACCCTCTACGAAGCCGGTGACCAGCGCAACGTGCCCCAGTCTGAGATCAACGAGCAGAACCGCTACGCAGAGGGTCAGAAGAACAGCCACAAGAACCTTGATTCGAGTATGCTTGCCCCTTCCTTCATTCTCCCTCTTACCTTCCATCCCCTCCCATCCCCTCGGGAGAAATAGGACTAACCTATCCAACAGAGGACCAGCGCTCCATTGGCAACAAGCTTGCCTCGCAAGAACGCAAGCCCGAGAGCGACCACCACCACAACTTTGTCCAGAACCCTGAGGCTGAGCTCAGCAAGCAGGATCCTACTAAGCCGGTATGTTTCATATACACTCTTACCCACTTGATCGATGTCCAGGATGCTGACTGTTTTGTCTGCAGGCCAAGGTGCACGGCAACCAGCCTTCCAAGGGTGCTCAGATCGATGCCGAATTGCAGGCTGAGGATGAGCAGCGCTTGCGTGAGAAGGGTATCAAGAAATAAATAATGTAATGATGGGATTTGGATGGAAAAGCTATATATATCCTGTTCGAATAACTGCATGAATGGCTGACGCCTGGGGCGATAGCATATCACTATTATTTACAATGGATTAACTTCTACTTCATTCTAAGTATTATGTTTTTAAAGTGTGTAGTACATTACTAGTAGCTCGTGTGTATTTGATTGAAGTTACTAGAACTGGAGTTATACTTCGGTTGTTCGTTCGGAGCGCCAGGGTATCAACAAACAGAGAGTTGGGATGTCAAATAGTAAGTATGGCATCAACCAATATTATACACCTAATGGTATGAATATGTAACCAGAAAAAGAACAGAAAATTATATACAATACTGCTGATAAGCAACCGTGTCGATCATAAACAGCATGGCGTAACTGGTTACCCAGTGATGTCTCAAGGCTCAGCATTGCAGTACAATGCGGCCAATTCAGCTTTCGTCGGTGAACTTGGGGTCGTCATCATGCGGCTCGGCGAACACATTCGCCCAGTAGCTCTCTACCCGGTCACAGATCTCATCCTTCCTCTCCCATGTTCGGAAGCTGATGGCGGGATCGCAACTGATGTTTTTGATCTCTTCCCAATACGCTTTCTCGACGTCATATCCAAATCGCTGAACGGTAGAGTCTGCCGCCAGCCATGCCCGTCCGTCCGTACCATCCGGGCGGAGCGTCGGCGTGGTCTCCCACTTCATGCCGAATACTTTTTCACCAGGATTGAACTTGGGGTAGTTGGCGTGGATGAAGAAAGCATGGGGGGCTTTCGCCACAGACTCATCTTTCACGCGCCATTTATTCGCACTGGTCAACGCATAATCCTCGGCCGGGTCAGTCTGCACCATTGCAGAGCCCGCAATACCGCCCGGCTTCGTGTGACCGACTGCCTGAACCCGCTCGCTCACAGCGTAGAAAGGCTCTCCGACGGCGGTGGCAGCATGAAGGAAGGTCTCCTTATCGCCTTCGCCGGGTGCGCCTTGCGATAATAGCCGGAAATAATGTGACGGACCGTAGTAGTTGTAGTAAGCAGCGAGGAGCAAGGTCAACTGATGTGTCTTCTTTGATACCAGAAAGACGCCCGCTTCCGATGACGCGCGCTCCGACAGCGCTGGCATTTCCTGCCGCGAGATTTTAAAGTACAGCGGAGACGCCGAGGAGATCCAAAAGTCCGGCCAGGTGACCAACCCCTTGGAGCTGAATGGTTCCGACTCAAGCAAAACTTCAGGCTTGTGGAGCGGAAAGCAGTCTGCGTCCATCCAGATAACCTCTTCAAACGAGGAGAATAGAACTGCGAAGATTTTGAGCTGGTAATGCTCAATGGCTCCCTTGCCAACGATATCCGAGAGGACAAGACAGCGCGCACCCAGATCCGGTAGGACCTCATCGCATATTTGTTTTTCATATTCACTTTTATCCTTCATATACACCTCCACCGGCAACGTTGACCCCAGTCGTCGAAGCATTCGTAGAGAGGACAAGAAGACTGGAAAATAGGAAGCCCCCGCTGTGGACACTATGCCACGCGTGCCCGGAGTATGTACTGGCCGCAGCCGTTCAGACTTACGACACTCCTCAATATAACCCGCATGAGCCTCTTCCATCGCTTGTAAATCGCCATCCTCGATTATGGTCAAATCAGGTCGCGAATCGGTCGTCGTAGCATTGAAGTGAACTGCGCTTACGTCCGCCAGGCGCTTTGGTGTAGGAGTATTTGGGGCATGTCCTTGCAATATCGGGTTCAAGACCTTCCAAAAGGCATTTTGACGTTCGGCGAGAGGGACCTCGAAGGCGGTGCTAGGGACTACTGAGGCTGGAGGCGGGGCCCAATAGATATACACGGTGCAAATGAGTAGCAGCGCACCCGTGGCCGAGATGATGGTCTTCAATTTACCTGGTCGAAGAACCGGCATGACTTATGTTCGCTGCCCGGAGGCAGAGCTAGGGGTATGGAGGTATAGCTTTGAAAGTTCGAGGCAAATCTACCAGCTCGCTGTGTATGGAGGGAGTGCACTTCGGCGGTTGGCCGGTAAGGTGTGCAATTCAAGTAAAGTCAGAGAAGATCGCTTTAGCAATCCATCAACATGGCTGGCAAGCTCGGTCGAGTCCAGTTTCAGCGGGAGGCGAATTCTGGTTCACGGGGGATACGAATGGCGGTGGAGGAGCCGCGGTAGTCGGGATAAGACACAATCAAGCACTGTTGTGTTGGCGGGGTCTGGAAACGCTAGAAGATCGCAAAGTTCTGGCCATGAAAGTTTCCAGCGGCCACGAAGGCTTGTCCAACGTGGCTCAGCAGGCAGTGTTGGGGAGGCGATGGAGGCACCGTGGATGCTTTTTCCAGCAGGCGGTGGCAGAACGCGCACTTACGTTGCCCGCGGCTATTAATAACGCGGTGCATAATTGAGTATGTGGTGGCTCCGGTTGGCTTCCCACGATCTTCATCCGGTGGCAATCCTAGTATACCGAGTGCGAGGGAGTTTCCTATTCCATCCTAGTGGTCGGAGTCATCCCGAGTGATCCATTAGGGGTTCCAAGGCACCAAGCCCCGACCCGTAGCAATGAAAAAGGGGAGGTGGAAGACTGAAGACTGCATGTGGTCCTTCCTCTCCGCGGAAGGGCCAGTTCCACCGAACCGACAGAGTGGAAAGTGGAAGGGAAAGTTCACCAGTGGATCCCATTAGCTTGGTCTACCGAAACCTTAAGAAGTTAAGGGGAATCTGGAATCTTGGATCGACTGGAGGGGAGACTTGGAGGAGAAGGAATGAATGAAGAATGAGAAGGGCCTCGCCTCGAGGAGACTTGATCGTTAAGTAGGGTTGGTAGTTGGTAGTAGGAAGTTGAGTTGCTGGTTGAGTTTTGTTACATTTGAACTTGAACAATGCACACCTCCCGCTAGTCCTGTTCCGGCCATAGATTTGGGGGCAGCCAAGTCCTTCTTCTTCCTCCTTCATTTTTGAGGTGCTGCCATCTTCAACAACCAACTTCATCTGTGCACCCAGTTAATCCTGCACCGGCTATGAACTGTGCCATCTTCTCTGGGTCCATCTGAAACGGTGGCTCAATTTCGCCGACACTCGGCCGCCATCAAGTAAGATCGCTTCAAAATGCGGGTTCGAAAGACACTCGCCACGCACCGGTTGGCTGCTGAGCCTCGACTACTCGGCGCTAACGAGTTTATACTGGCTTAATCTCCGGCGCTGCTCTCCTAACGGCGGGTGATGCCGCAACGATCGTCGCTTATCATCATCTCCAAATCCGCTCTCTTTCTCCTGCGCGAACTAGATCGATTCCCGATGTGATTCGATTATAAACGACCATAAGCGTGGCCCCCCCTCTCTCTCCGACGTTAGCTCTTCTTTTCTTGCTTTTTCCTGACCTGTTCATCCCGACGACTAGATACATTATCTTCCACCCCCCAACATCGTGTTGGCCCTGCTTTCGCCTGGCCTATTCTAACACACTAGCTAGCCTGCTACTGCCCGCCGTGTCAACTCCTCGCACCACTTATGGGACCCCGCACTCCGGGTTATCTCCACATTGCTTGCCTGGGCGAGTTAGTATCTGCACCCTAGCAGTTGGCCAACCTCTGCGTCGGATCCGGCTATGGAATCTACTTCGAAGCCTCGAATCCGCAAAACTCCGCCGGTCTCCGCCCCAGCTCCCCGCAAAAGGCGTAGGAGGACGGTCGTAAGCCAAGCGGCTGATGATTGCTTTACTTGCGCCCGACAGGGTACTCCCTGCGACCGGCGTCGCCCATATTGTTCCCAGTGCCTGGACAGCGCCCGCAATTGCGCGGGGTACAAGACAGCGTTGACATGGGGCGTAGGAGTTGCCAGTCGAGGAAAGCTTCGAGGGTTGTCCCTCCCCGTGACCGGGGCACAGCCTGCGGTCGCACCTCCGAAGTTTTCCCGTGTGACAGGGCCACGGACAGCGTCGAAATCCCAACCGGCTCTTGACACAGCCGCAGAAAAGCGACGACATGATAAACAACGTTCTTCAGGCACTGGGCTTGCCGAGCATGGATCTGTCTCGGTTTCAACTGCTTCACAACGCCGGGCGTGCTCACCGGAGTACTATACGGTGGATTCCCATGCTTCGCCAAATTTCTATAATTCTTATTCCTCACGTGCGACAAAGACCGATTCTCCGAGACAGTGCCATGCCCCATTGATCTCAAATCCTGATCCGTCAAGGACCTGGATGGGGCCAGAACAAACACCGGTACCAATACAGTGTCCGTGGCCAACCCAGGCTCCGAACCAGAAAGATAATGCTTCAGATGAGCAAAGTGAAGAAACCTGTGATGACGAGGTTTCACCACGTATGAATGCTTGCCAGCCGCCATCATTATCTCAGCAGCTGCTGGCACGTTCCGTGGGACGTACACCTCGACTCCGATACCTAATCAGTTATTATACCGAAGTCATTGCTCCGATGATTGTGGCATTTGATAGTCCAACCAATCCATTTCGAATGTATGTTCTTCGACTGGCGCAGGAAAGCACATCGCTCCAAGAGGCCATCGCTACATTGGCCAGCTGTAATCTGCGACAGCGACGCGAACGAGGAATGAGGGCGACGGAGCGAACTTTGCCGGGGCGCATGTCGTCCTTGGCCCACCAAGCCTTGACCGATGGAGCATTACAGGAACGGGCTGGTCTCAGTATGCCCGAAGAATATGCCCAGGAAGAGCAGTATCATCGAGGCATGGCGGTCTCTGCTTTGAATCGGGAATTGGCCGACCCGCATCAGAGACTTTCTGACTCTGTCCTGGCAACCTTACTCATCCTCTGTCTATTCCATGGGTGTGATACAGGGGTCGCTCAATTCAAGACGCAGTTTGCGGGGGTGACAAAATTGTTGGCCATCCGACTGTGCAACTCACCTTGCATGTCGGATGAGCTGAAGTGGTTTGTTCGGATGTTCACATGGATTGACACGATGACCGCCACCACCAATGACCGCGAGGTACAGCTTCGCGGTGCTTGCCTGGATATCACCGCCGCCTCGGATGGCGAATGGGGACTGGAAAATCTGGCGGGATGTGATGCCGGACTTTTCAGAATCGTAGCGCAGCTAGGTCGTTTGAACCTTCTGA